TTGCGATCGCAGTTGGGGATGGGGATGATGTAGAGGTCCTCATGGGTGCGGCTCTGCGAGGCGGCCAGCCGCTCCAGGGCCCGGTGCAGCTCGCTCTGGCAGGAACCCTGGGGCTGGGGGAGTGGGAGGAGGAAACTGCTCAGCAGAGGAGAGAGAGGCAGGGGGGCCAGGCCTGGGATCGGAGCTGGGTGGGGGCTGAAGACCCTGCAAAGGCAGCCCAGGCCTGTGGGTTGGGCAGGACCCAAGGAAGTGAGGGGTAGGGTATGGTTCAGAGGACATGGGGAGAGGGAAGCAGAAGGACTTGAGGAAAGAGTATTGAGCCAAAGAGCTTCTGGACCAGAGAGCTATGAAGTGAGGGGCTATGTGGGTAAAGGGGCTGTGAGAATCCATGGGGAGGACCAGGGAGGGGGTGATTTCTAAGCAGGAAGGATAGAGACAAACTCACACAATTAACAGCTACCCCCCAACCAAAAGGACACTAGCCAGACCATGGGAACGGGGTCCCAAGGCCCCCAGCTATGCCAGCATTAACCCTTTAGTTACTGAGAAGGTCTGGGATGGAGAATCTAAGAGAAGAGCCAGGAAACCCCAGAGAGCTTTTCACCAGCCAGAATGGAATAATTTCAGTATTTAACAACCAATCCAGCTGTACCAATGTATATAACTGATAAGCAGGAAGGGAACTGCAAGGAAAAGAATAAGGACCCTCTCTGGGTCCTGATGACACACACTACGTGCACCTTGCACACAGGAGGTGTCCAAACAAGGTTTGCTGAATGAACACAGTCCAGATCTGGGGGTCCTGGGGGTGCTGGTGGTGGGATATATGTGTGCATGCACACGAGCATATGCACATTTGTGGGTCTGAGGTCCTCACCACAGGCCGGGTATCCTCCCGGGGTGCCCCGATGACCTTCATCTTGCCGCCGCTGGTGCTCCGGTCTCGCATTTTGGCAAAGTGCTTCTGCAGGCACCTGCGGTCATGGGCGCTGCAGGGGCTGAAGCTGTTGTTGGGGTGGTCACCCTCATCCTTGTCTGCACCAGGCCAAGATGGGAAGAGGTCATCACCGAGAAAGGACAAAGCATCACATCACCCCAGCCTCCCACCTACTTTCTCCTTGAGGATCCTCTAGCCCAGTGCAGAAAAGCAGGAGGTCAGGG